GCTGAATTCAAAGCTTAATGTTCCAGCACCAATTCTGGAGCTTAAACTTGGCTTCAGGAGTGGGTAAATGACCAGCCAGAGAAAATTCCAGCAGACAGATCCTTGTTAACTTACATTTTCCTTCTGGCACAGAGGAATTGCCATAGTTTCTCTCATCAGTTACAAATGTTTTCATCCTTCCTTCAGAATGAAACTACTCCAATATAGCACTAGGTGGACTAGATACCTTTTACATGTCTCTGTGAGTTCATCATTCTATATCTTAGAAATATAAATGGAGAACATTATTTCAGTCATTTCTCCACCTGAAATTTAAACAAATTTGCTATGACATTTTATTTGCATTCTACAGAAAGGATGTATAAAAATAAAGTATGATGGTCTCATTTTTTCTTATGAAGAACCAGATTCAGAAATCATGAGTAAGATGCATGAATGGAGAATCACCATGGAATATTCGATCATTTAAGACTAAAAAGAATGGATCTGAAAATGTTAAATCTTACTGAAATGTTTCATTCCATTTACATCAGAGTATTTTCTGTTAAAAAAAAAGTACTTCCATAGATTTTTCTAATATATTAACACTTCTGCTTATGCAGTCAACTGTACACTGATTTGATCATAAACAGTTACACAAATCTGGATATGTTATTCAAAACCAATCTTAAAAAAACAGTCTCCCATGTCGCCTGTGTGTGTCTATTGAGTGAATAGAGGTAATATACAATTTGAAGAGGAATTATTTCTTTGAATAATTAGTAGTATGACCAAATTAATTTAGCATAAATATTTAGAAATTATTTTTTCAAGTCTGATTTTTTTGACACATTTTATAAAAATTTTTTAAAAGAATCAGCACAAGAGAATGGAAGTTAACATGGCAAGAGGATTAATCAATGAAGTTAACCACTTCATTGTAAGGACAACGTGATTCATGACGTATGAGAGATTTGAGACTTTCAGCCAAAAATGCAGATATAGAGAATCACTTTTGCTGGTGACTTAAAGGTCAGTGAAAGGCTTTAAATTGAACCATAAACCAGTTTCTTGTCTAGTTTGTGATGACCATACAAAGGTTGTCATCAGTAGTGACCAACCTATGATCTCTGAGTGATCATAGTACTTCCCTGAACATGCGGGAAATGTTGACCTGTGTATATGAAACCACAGCATAGCAAATGTTGATATAAATTGATTTATCAGTGGTAAGCAATGTAATGATTCATAAGGCATGTTTTTCTTCTCACGTACAGAATCACTTAATAAGCTTATGTGTGTTATCCAGATGTGTTTACTATACTATTTTATAATTACTTTCATTAGGCACCAGTTATATTCATTAAAATTTTTCTTTTTTAGATCTTCATCCTGGAACTTTGATAATAACTGTTAAGGGTTGTAATATTTCCCTTAAATTTTCACGGCATGTATTTCTGTATATGCAAGTGTCTTGTAGTCATTTTCTTTTCCCCATTTAAGTAATAGTAAATTCTACAGACTTATACATCAATGAAGTTGCCAGAGGTATAACTCATGACTGAAATCAAACAATTTTCCTCAACACTTCCAATTTTATGTAGTTATGTCACTTTTATTTAAATGTTAATAACCAGTTGTACTTTTAAAATGTTCAGAAAATACAGCATCTTTTCTTGCTTCTGTTTATTGCTTAGGGAAAAAAATGTACATATATTTATCTCTTAATGTTGAAGTTACTTCCTCAAATATAAATGCTTCAAAAATAGAGAATACATATTATTTTTCAGAAAAAAAAATCATAGAATATGGTGTTTGAAGCAATCTCAAATGGCAATTTATTCTATTCCCCTGCCCCAGGGTACTATTAACGGCACTTACATTATTCTCAGGTAGGTATTTTTCTAACCTGTTCTTAAAAACCACCAGTGATGGAAATTCAACAGTTTTTTTGGGAAACCTATATGAGTACTTCATCATCCTTGCTAAAAGAAATTTTCTCCCCATTGTCTAATCTAAACTTCATTCCTAGTTTTAAAACTAATTATATCTTGTTCTCTTGCCAGAGAATATGGAGACCATCCCACTATGTTTTTCTTTTCAGGAACTGTTTGATCCCATGTAGGATTATGGGATCCATCCTTCTATTGAAAGATTGTGTTTCTTTACACTCCAGAGTAAAACCCTATAAAAGGCTAATTCACAAAAGTAATATAGCTGTAAATAAATCTGTTATCACAGTCACAAAACATTGTTCCCACTCTCATTGTTCCTAAGATAAGGAACATTCCAAAGGACATTCTTGCAAATCAGTCTTTTTGTATCTCTAGGAACAGCAATTATGAAGAAAATCTATGATTTTTGTTGTAGGTAGAATCAATCTAATTTGTTATGGTGAAATCACATTTATTCAGAAAGGAGACAGCTGAAGTAGCACTTAAACTGCCCATGTGAGAAGAAGAATCCTTCAAGAAGAAGTCCGCATTACTGACTCTCCAATGCTGAAGGATTTTCACTGCGTAGTTCAGAGTTGTGCCTGGCCTGTGGATAAATCCTAAACTTATTTGATTTCTCCATTTTCACAGACAAAGTAGCTACATAGACAGGTGCAAACTCATTGAAAAAATTGTGTCAGACAGAACTTCCTTGGGTTTTTTTTTTAAGTTAAAGTTAAGTTGCCATCATTTACCATAAGGAGGAAAGTTTTTAAAAAGTTAAGTAATTCATTCCAAGTTCGTGCTCAGAAGTCGCTCAGTAGTCCCTTAGCCTGTATTTATCCCATAACATATAACAATTTGGGAAAACAAAGCCTGAGCAAAAATTCTTCCTGCTCACTTCTTGACATTTCATCTAAAAGACCTGTAGAAAGAAGACTCCTCCTAGAGTGCAAATACTTGAGGGAAAGTCAGAGCATCCTCTATTTACCTGTGCACCTGCAAAGGAAAACTAAAATGTCTGAAGCCCCACCTTTTAAGAACCTTGTGAAACAATCTGGGAACTGAGCCAAAACCTACTCTCTCACTATATAAGACTCAGGTGCAGACAGGTATTTCCTCAGAGGCAGGTTGTTCGGTAGTATTTACCGGACTTCCAGAAGATGGGCACAGGAGGTGGGACACAAATACCACTATGGATATCAATACTAGCACTTGCCTTCATACAGATCAAAGGTAGGAAGATTCACTTGCTTGGCAATTTTACTGTACTAAAGAATTTATCACTTGCTTCGGAGTTTGAAATGTTTTTTGCTTGGCTTTGTGAAGCTAATGAACCTGTTACCTTTATGCAAGATTTTCTTTTCTGTTACAAATATTTTCCTTCTCAATAAGAGGAAATTAACTGTCATGAAAATTTATATTGTAGTCCATATTCTTATTCTATTTTCTCCAGTTGAAACTTGGAATAGCTCCACTGAATTCAGTGGAAGCCACTTGGAACTTACATTTTTATCAAAATGCCTCCAGATTTGCATTTAGCTTTTGATGTCCGTTTCAAGGTGCTACAGTATTTCTAAATGCACAAATCAAAATGTGCAACAATGGCTATAGGAAGGAACAAATCAGTAGAGTCTGTTTGCACACATTAAAGATTTTGTTTGTGGTATCAGTTGATGATACAGTATTGAAAAATAAGAGGGATATTTCTTGAAAGACATTGGATATTTAAAAGTTCATCTATTCTTGCACAAGGTTGTATAAAAATTTAGACCACAGGGTTGGTTTTTGATGGGGTGAAAACAAATGGAATTGCCTTAAATATTCTAAGAGGGCACTTAATACTCACAGATGAGTGAAAATGTTTTTAACATATATCTCACTTCTTAATTTCCCTTAAAGTGTAAGGTAACAACGTTAGTTCTTTAGTGCATTTCTATTTTCCTGCTTCCAGGCAATTTCACACTAACTTATGTTTAAAAATGGTAGTATCAAAGAATAGCCCATCAAAAAAGTAGCTGTAGCATTATCACACTGTACAATGAAAACAGGAATCTGCAATGCATATGGCATGGGCAGAGTGTTGGAGCCATGCAGTGCATGGAGAGAGAAGCAAAAAGCTCTCAAAGGCTAGGGAGCGGAGAAGAGGCAGGCAGAAGCACTGAACGGTTCATAGCTTAAAAATGGGTACAATGTGTCCTTCCAACACCAGCTGTAGACTTCCAGCTGGTTCAAAAAGGAAGGGACTTATGGAGCTCCCTGCTGCTCTGATTTCATCATTAGCCCCTCTAGCGGTGCTACTCAAGGACTGCCCTTGTGGGATGTAGAGAAGGGTGAGCCTGTCTTTTCGGTTTCCTCCAGCCAGCATAGCCTCTCCTGCAACCTGCCCTCTGATGAACTCTCACTAAGCGGTGCATTAAAAACCCCTCTGGCCCCTGCAGATTTTGTGTATACTCCTATTCTGATGCCCCAGTGGAATGGAATGAAGAATGGTTTCTTTGCTGGGTACAAAAAGTTTGCTCTGGGGCAAAATCAACAGTCACAAACATGTCTATTGGAAAGACCTATTTATTTCTGTGTGACTTGTGCATTAATTTTCTTTCTGCTGCTTGTTACAAAAAGTGCTTGAAACTGTAAAATAGAAAGTAACTTTGGATTTCAGTAAGAGAGGACAGAGATAAGACCTCTGGAATTAATTATTCCTGCACAAATAGGAGCTATTTTTAAAGCTGGCTAGACAAAAGGTTTTACAGATGCTAGAGCACACAGTGATCAGAAGAACTAAGAAAACAAAGTCCTTCATCTGAAAAACTTAAAAGGACATCCAGGGGTACTGTCACAATAACAGGGATAAGGATCTGCTCAAATTATCACAGGCATGTTTTTGAAGGTCTCCCTGCAGTAATTTATTAGGGGGGTGGGGAGGGGAAGCCATCATGGTTGCATGTAGCACATGGTGCAAATCTGACCTCCTATACATGAACACAGCTTTGTTGATTTTTTATATACTGGCTGTTGCACATTTAACCAGGTATAATTGAGAAATTTAGACATTAATCTTTTCATTCTCCACTCTTCTTGATGCAGTTCAAGCCCAGGATGAGAAACAGCAAGCAAAATCAAACTATGTTTCTCCATCCATCCTGCAGCGACAAAAATGTAAGTAGATTTATGCTGATTTATTTCTAATATTTTATGCTAAATTAAATTAATAAACAATAAGATTACTAGAATCTTCTTATTCCTAGTTAGAACATACTTTCTCTTCCCCTGCCTGCTCCCCCCCACAGAAAAATAAAAAAAGAGGGGGAAGAGAGAACTTCTTCTGAGATCTGGCCCACTGAATCTGGTCCACTGATATGACACAGTTATCTAATCTTTAACTTCATGAAAGGTACATACCTTCTATCTCAAAGTGTATTTTCAGAAGAGGTGTGCATATGCATACATATCACCAAGGTATTTGATAGTAGATAATAAAAGACACATTTTTCATGCTGTGTCAAGACGACTGCATCACTCATGAGAGAATAAGAAAACTGTAACTACCTTAAACATTAGAACAATTAAGCACTCCATGCTATCACGCATGAGAGATAACTGTACAGAGCAAACGCCATAACTGTACAGAGCAAAATAAGGGTGGAGGGATAAAATGCTGGCTGGTATATTAGAGATGACAGGCTGAAACGATTAATCACTATGCCTGCCAAGCAAGCTGCAATTTGTGAGGTCACTAGCTGGCCATTAAAATAATTATAAACCCAAACTGGAAGTGTAGCATAAATTATTTAATAATAGTGAGTGCATTTAATTATTGGAACAGATTTTCAAGGAAGGTAATAGGTGTGCTTTCCCTTAAAATTCTTACATTAAGACTGAATGAGATTGTCTTTCTAAAACACATATTTGTCTTAGTGATCTTTTGGTCTAAATGCAGAAGTCAATGGCTGATATTGCACAATCTACAGTTTGGAAGTCACCAAATTCTATGATTTTTATACTTTCAAGGGAGAAACTGCATCAAGTCCTCAGACACCCATGCTAAGAAAATCACATTGCAGGATCTCTAAGTATTCTATTCCTTTCATTGATGGATGCAAAGGAAAATTACTGGATCTGGACATGGGAACTTTCTATTCTACCAACAGAACTCTTTGTATGAAAAGCACATGATTAGAGTTTCACTGCTTTTAAGAAAAATCTGCTTAGATTTGGTTGTGCAAAAGTGCATGTCTCAGCATAAAGAAAGATATGAGCTTCAGAGAAAAATCAGCTCGTTTCTCATCCTCAGCTTCTAGTATTATTTAATAAACTTCTGCTTCTCAGTGTACCAAGAGGCAAAGGTTCAGACATAGACATTAGCAGTGCTGCTTCTGCATCTCTATTACAACACTGTGCTCTAAGTATCAGGTTGCTGCTTTTGAGTTCAGAACATCAGGGCCAGCATCAGATGGGAGCCTTGAACAAACAATGGAAGAAAGTACTGCAGCCAAAGAACATGGCCTTTGGGATTTGGGTATCAGTGAAATACATAGAAAGAGAGAACTCAAAGCACTGTGTAAAAACCACCAATAATACCTTGTGGAAATGTCCCCCTAGAATGTAACTAGTAGTAGGAATGTTAATCACTGAAGAGACTAGGCAATCTCTATCTATTTTTTAGGACTTCTAATAAAATTAAACTTGATTGGTTTTTTCCCCCTTAGATATCCCACCAGCTTCAAAATCCCAAAGAGTGACAATCATTCCACCTTTTCAAAACACACTGAAAGTAAAGGGTAAGTTAAGCAAATATCATGGCTTAGATATGTGTTCTTGTTGATCACACAGGTAGAGCATGGAATGACTGAGAAGATTAATACACTGTATAAGATCCTTTAGCATCACAAAATTAAAAATGAACAAGAAAAGTAGTCTAGGATAATCTAAATGTGATCCCAGGACTCAGCCTGCATTTTGTTAATATGATGCAGCTGTAAAAAGAGAAAGTACTTTTAAAAAAAATTGTATTTTTATATATAAAAATAATACTGGGATAAATAATGCACAATATTTCCAGTAAAGAAAGCAAAATATCAATGTGTTCAAAGCATTGGTGAGACACCTTATCTAGGGTATAGGGTACAATTCTGACTAGATGTTTCCAAGCAGGGTGAGTGTAAGAGATGCAGGGAGGAACTGTAAGGATAATCAGGGAGATAGGAGAGCCTGCTTGTAAGGAAATGACAACTGAAAAGAGATAACTGATAATAGGTGGGAGGAGGAGCAGGGAGATGGAACCCCTTCAAGGTGAAGTGTAATGCTGGCACAAGAACAACCAGGCATACATGAGACAGGAATAAGTTTTGGAAGATGCTAGTAAAAGTCTTCCAGCTATTCAAAGTGTGTGGCTATGAGTGGCCTTCCCCAGTAGGAGTATCAGCTAGTTTTAAACTAACTTTAAACTGGTTTTATGGTGAAACTTTAGAACTTCATACATTTAGGAAAGGATTTATAGAATGTGGCTGTCAGCAGAACCAGAGCACTAGACATAGTGACCCAGGAGATCTCTTCTGATCTTAGGCCCTGTATCCCGATGGCCATACACAAAAGATAACTGAACTAAATAAATAACACATTGATAAAAAAATAGCTGGACAACAAGGAAAACAGAAGATGGGCTTTTTGGACAGAGGCTAGTGAAAGAAATAAAAGGGGAAAAGCAACTAAAAGGAGGGTATCTACAGCAAATTACAGAGAATTCTTACTGTTTCTTTTGAATCAACAGCTGGCAACCCTTCTCACAATGGCCGTGTGTGCAGCACATGGGGTAACTTCCACTTCAAGACCTTTGATGGGGACATTTTTTACTTTCCGGGAGTCTGCAATTACATCTTTGCGTCCAACTGCAAATCTCCGTATGAGGACTTCAACATCCAGATTAGGCGGACAGCTGTGGAAAATGCTACCATGATCACTCACGTCATCATGAAGCTGGAAGGAGCAGTGATTGAACTAAGCCGTGGCTCTGTTCTGCTTGATGGCAAATCGTATGTTCCTGACTTGAAACTGCCACTACTGCTCTTGTTCCCCGTGGGCTCTTTGAGCGAGCATCCCTTTCCCTTATCTGATCTCACATTGCTCCCAAGTGGCTGTAGGGCTCAGGTCCTTCCTGAATTATCAGCAAAAATAAGAGGGCCTGGCAGTGAGCTAAGTGCCACTTCTGCAGACTATCCCTGTGTCTGTTTTATTCAGATGAGCTATATCCCAGATGCTGTGCTACATTTAAAATTGTGTATTTAAATATACAATTGAGTCTATAAGCTGGATTCAAAGTGTTAGGTTTTTACAGCCTTTAAGACTCTACTTTCCATTATATTCACCAGAACAGTATCCTTGAGGGGAATTTTTGATGGCTTTTGTCCTTGCAATGAACAGTATGCAGTTAAGCAGTGGCAGCAGCCTGTACCTCCACTCATTTAAACGGAGGTACTCTAGAAATCTGCTATCTATTTAGCAATGGTAGTACTGACTTCAGCATAGGGTGTGAAACCTGTCCAGAAAGCTGGGTAAATATTTGGGCAGTTATCCCACAGTGATTTGTGTATTATAGCACCTATGTACAGTGAGCTAGTCTAAAGGTTATCTTGGGTACACCTTTGTGAATGGCACTCATGTCACAGAAAGCCTAGAGTCTACCTCTATATATCAAGGGCTTTAAGAAGTAAATAGCAATATCCTGAAGCATACTGCCTGCAAAACAGAAACTCCCAGCACCTTTTTTAACAACACAACCAAACACACATGCCAACATTTTACCTAACAAAACATCATTAACAGAACCGAAAGGAACAGTAGAAGCAAGGCTGATCCATTTGCACGATGAGAAGCAAAATGTCACAAACTTGTTTTGTCTGTATTTAGTTACTACTATGACTAATTTCCTCACCACATTGAATCTTCTCAAAGAGAACGAGAAAGTGTAACAGTGTGGATATTCAATGGCTATTCTGTCCCTACCCTCACTGAACTGTGGCGATCTTTCCCCAGGGTTCAGATGCCCTACAGCCATATGGGAGTCTTCATAGAGAGAAGTAACAGCTATTTGAAAGTTTCTGCCAAGTTAGGACTGACATGCCTCTGGAATGAAGAGGATGCCCTCCTGGTAAGAAAACATCCAAAACTTGGCAGAAAGCCTGTATTCTGAAAATAGCCTGTTTACATCTTTGCAGTCTTAATCAGCCAGGCAGGCATTAGTTAGTTTTGGATTTGTGTCTTGTGTATTGTTCTGTATTCCAGTCTTCTCCCAATTTCCCTTTTCTTCCCACAGAGCTTAGCTCAGGATCAATAGACTCCCAATTATAACAACCCCACCTCACAGTGAAGTACTCCTCAGACTCCAGACCTAGCAATGCACTGATGTTCACAGCCCCAGGGCTGGAGTAAGACCCAGATTTTTTTGGTGGCATTTGACCTTCACTTGCCTACCTTGTTACAACACCACACAGTGTGCACAGCATACGTATGTCATATTTTGAATACATAAGCAAAACTGATGTAGGCTGTGTTCCTATCCATCAAGGCTGATATTACTATGAACATAAGCTCTCTCTCCTCATTTCTTTTAGGTGGAACTAGATAAGAAATATGCTAATCAAACTTGTGGACTTTGTGGGGACTTCAATGGAATTCCAATTAGCAATGAATTTCTTTCAGAGAGTAAGTAACAAAAAGCATTATTAAACATTGGCATTTTGGTTTTCCTTTTTCTAGCAGTATACTGTAACACAGGTTGTGGGTTGTATTAACTGCAAGACTAGTAATACTTCTTTATGTATTTTCTGGTTGATGTCATAGTGGTTAGTGTCACAAAATAAAATATCTCCATGCAAAAGCCAGTAAACCAGTAAATAGTATTCTAATATTTGGACTGCTTTTTACAGATACAAAACTGACTCCCATACAGTTTGGAAATAGGCAGAAGATGGATGGACCTACAGAGCAGTGTGCTGATCTTATTCCTTCTGCTGCTGTGGTGAACTGCTCAGCTGAATTTGTAAGAACCTCTCTCTCAGAATTTGTTTTCATATCGTAAAATACATTCTTCCTCTCTTTGGAGAAAATTTGAGAGAATTGGAAAAAATATACCACAAATGTGACTCAACAATAAGTCTGCAAGGAGATTTTTTCTAAATTTCATTCTTTATTCTCTGCTAAAGTGAATGCCAAAAAGTTGCCTTCACATTCCATGAGAATATTGGATATTTAAATGAAATCCACTGAGTATGTCTTAATGAAACTGCACAATGCTTGGGAACCTGAGCTGAAAGTAACTCAAGATATGGGAATACATGGGAGTTGATCAAAGGACTTCCACGTGTATTTGCCCTGTTGTTATACTTCTTCCTAAATATCTGCTTATGGCTACTGTCGGACAGGTTTCTGGACCAGATGGACCTTTGGTTCTGCTACATACCTTAAATAATTAATTTCATGTTTTCCAAACTTGTTTTACCTTCTCTGTTTTTCCTCCTAGGCTTCTATTTGTGAGACAGTATTAACCAGTAAAGCATTTGCAAGCTGTAATGCACTTGTGAATGTTCAGGACTACATTGAAACTTGCATACAAGACCTATGTCACTGTGACAGCTCTATGGCAGACTTCTGCATGTGCAACACCTTTGCTGAATACTCCCGACAGTGTGCCCATGCAGGTGGACAGCCTCTGAACTGGAGAACCGCAGAACTGTGTCGTAAGTATCTCAGGAAGAGGCTTTCTCCTGTGCTTACTACCCAGATCTTGTACACTTCAGATATGTGATAATTTCTTCCTGAAGAAGACAGATGTTTCAAGATGCATGTAATTTTCAGTTTTAACCTGAGTATACTTAAGACTTTGGAAATATGGAAGTTTAGAGGATTTAGCATTACTAAGGGTTTTCAATATATATCAGAAACTCTAAAATGTTGCACCCTCCACTTGGTTCAGGATTCCCCATTGTATCTCAACAGAAAAAGTCATAATTTGCAAATACCATTTTCTCAACATTTCAAAGGAGAAGTCAGCATTATAACACTATTTCTACTTTCAGCCAAATTGTGTCCTTTCAACATGCAACACCAGGAGTGTGGCTCTCCCTGCTCTGACACGTGTAGCAACCCAGAACGATCAGCACTTTGTGAAGATCATTGTACAGATGGCTGTGTCTGTCCTCCAGGCAAGTTTATTTCCTGCCCTTTTCTCATACTCAAAACCGCTAAAACACTTGCCTGTACACATTTAACAACTTTCCTACTCTGTATCATTCTCATCACACCATTGCTGTTTTTATCATCAAAGTAATAACTGCATTTGTTCCTTGATACACATGCACCATTTCTAGTCAGATTACTAAAAATGCCCTTTTAAACAGTAAACATTCCTGAGAGATGTACACAATGACTGAACTGAGAATAAGATGCTTCACTTCTAACAGTAAGGGGAAGTCCTCTATTCTTAGCAGCCAAATTCAGTTCACAGAAAGTATGTGACGTTTAATCACATTTTGCTCACGATACCTCTTGGTGTTAGCAAAGCTGTGTCTGGTTCCCCAAACTATCAAACACTTCCTGACCAGTGCTGCATGTCTAAACAACAAGAAGCTGAGACAGCACTAGCCAGTGCGTAAAATCTGATGCTTCAGAGAATTAGACACGAGAACTGAATATCAGTACAAGACAAACAATGCAAATGTATTGGTTTTGTGCATGCTTACTGCTGGGGCTGAGAATTGTTGTTGTGAGTGGCTGCAAGGTCTTCACCCCTTGCAGCTCTTCTGTTCATCCTCCATGATATCTCACAGAATTCACCATCACTTGTTCGTATAGTAGCATTTACTTCTCTAAGATAATCCTCTGCCTTTGGGTATAAAAATATTTGCTGTACAAATATGTTCCTGGGCAGTCTATCTATGGTTTATCTATTCCACCTCATTAGTAATTTTAATCCCAATTCCAATCTAATGAAGTCTATAACAGAAAGGTATTTCCCTAGAGGTCTTTTTTGATGACCCTAACATTTTAGACAGGCTTCACTGGAATATAGTCCTTCAATCACTACATAGCTGGCATCCTATTACTCTAAAGTACTTTCTGTTCATTTTCTGCGTAATGCAGAAGAAATGAAACATCATGCTTTGAGGCATCTGTCAGATACGTGTACAAAAGCAGGTTCTGTAATGCACAGAATGAGTAACAGACCATTTCTTTCCCT